TGTAGATCAGACTAGCAGTGATTCCCCTGTTTACAGCCTCTCAAGCACTGGGATTACAGGCATGGGCCACCATGCTCAGTCTCATTTGCCATTTCTGCATGTCCCAGGGGCGAGGTCAGCTCAGCAGGCCCGGGGATTGAAACCCTGGCCCCTGCACCTGCTTGCAGGTGCTTTAATCCACTGAGCTATTTGGCCTGCCTAAAACTCTTAAGCTTATTTATTTATTTATTTTGGAAAAGGGAATTGAACTCAGGCCTTTGCGCTTGCCAGGCAAGCGCTTATTCTACTGAGTTATCTCCGCGGCCCCAATAGTTGATTCTTGAGGACAGGCATGCAGACTTTTATTGATGGCCCCCGTGAATCTTATACCCTATAATTTACATTCCCACTCTAGATTTACAAGTCACCACTATGCCACTTTGAAAATTAAGATTGCTAATAAATATTGCTGTTCATATTTTTCTAAGTAAATGCTTTGATTGTATTTCCCTGCATCCTTAAATTAAGTGTGTCTCTTTGTGATTTGTTTTGCCCAACATAATTTTAGCTGGTATGCATATGTGATTTGTGGAAAGAGCCAACTCTTTTGCCTCTTACCACCATGATCAGTAGCATTCAGTATTTCTCTTTCATCAGTCTGGATACTTGAGTGAGGATCAATGTAAAGCTTCCTCAGGAAGCTAAGGTTAGGTTTAAGAATTAAATAATCTTGTGCTTCTGTATATGCATGGAGAGAGAGAGAGAGAGAGAGAGAGAGAGAGAGAGAGAGAGAGAGAGAAATTTCATTGATGTTATATGTTAGGAAAGTCAGGTAACAGCAACAAAACATCAGTGGCCTACTGTAACAAAATAGATGTTCTTGTCCATAGCCCTGTACAACCTGGGTGTGAAGGCCAGCTCTGTTCCTTAAATTCAGAGACGAAGTGGACAGACATCAGAGAAAATGGGTCTGAAGGATCCTGCTCTAGTTTCTTGTGAAAGAGCCAGGCAAGTTACTCTCTCCTGCTGCAGCGTCAACAACTCCATCTGTCTTTAACTGCATCTACCTTTAGACTCTTAAAATAAGAGATAGCTGGGAAGTGATAGTGATTTTCATATTTCATTGACCAAAAAATCATATTGAAGTAACTGACCTCACATTAGCAGGATGGCTGAATGATCTATTCACAGTTTAGTAAAATAGCTACACTGATTTAAACAATCCTTGGCATAACAGCGAAAAAAAGAGGGAAGAACTTACATATAATCATTTTTTTGGAAAGCGTAAGGAGGCAGAGGACGTCATTTCTTGCAAGTGGTTACCAGCTGACAAGAGAGCAGATGCGAGATTCGCAGCTGCTCCTTGGTGAGAATTGAGAACAACCGCTGTGCTGCTGCCCGCAGAGATAAGTGGAGGGAACTTTTTTAGAAATGCCTAAAAAATGCAACAATTTCCAGTAGGCTTTTGACATGCACCATCGTCAGTACGTCATCTTGAGGCATTCAGTTCTGATTATTCAACTTACGGTGCCAACTTCGTCTTTCTCAAAGGGCTCCCCCGTACTTTCCTTTTCCATTTCTTCCATGTGTATAAAATTAGGTGTTTTTTTTTAAAGTTATATTCAAACACTTAGGATGACTCAGCTTCCGTGAGCAACCACGCACTGATGCAGTATAATCATAGAAACTATTTTCTTAGAGGAAGGATAGTCAGAAGTTTTAGCACGACCCTTAATAACTGCTACATACGCTACATTCCTTTTTTTTTTTTTTTTTTTTTTTTTTTTTTTT